ATCACAATCTAGATTTCTATATTTGAAGATATATGTGTCTGTTTATTTTCTGAAATTGCTTTCATAAAAACGTTCCTACTGATGGTTGAAAAAATTAAAATAATAAATAAAATATTTAAAAAAAACTAGGCATAGGGTCAGGCTTAATGGGTAAAGGCAGTTGCTGCACAAAACTGACACATTTATTTGATCCCTAAAACCCACATAAAAAGCCTGATGTAGTGGCATGCATCTGTAAACCAAGTACTCTTTAAAAATATCTATTTATTTAAAGATAATTTTATGTGTATGAGTGTTTTGCCAATGTAAGTGCATCTGTGTTGTGCCATGCCTGCAGAGGCCAGAAAGGGACACTGGGTCCCCTGGAACTGGATTTAAAGATGGTTGTTAGCCACGATGTGGGTGCTGGGAACCAAACCTAGGTCATCTGGAAGAACAGCCAGGGCTCTGAACCACTGAGCCATGTCTCCAGCCCCTGTAATCCAAGTACTCTTAGTGTGAGATGGGAGGTGGACACAAAAGAATCTCTCAGAAGTGTAAGAGCCAGTGAGTCTGGAACTTGCTGTACACCAGTAGAAGCAGCAAGGAACAACCTGCCTTAGCAAGATGGAAGGTGGGAACCGACTCCTCAAAAATTGTCCTTTGATCTGTACTTGTACATCATGGCATGCTTATACACACACACACACACACACACACACACACACACACACACACACTTAAAAAAATAAAACTAGGCATAGTAGCCAGGGTTCAATCTTGGCACTCTGGAGGTAGAGGCAGGAGGAACAGTAGTTAAAGGTCATCATTGGCTATACAGTAAATTTGAAGCCAGCTGGAGTTATTTGGTACCCTTTCTATAAAAACAGAAGAAACCTTAGATCTCCAAGACCCAGAATTGAACCTTCTCAGTCAGTGATAAAGCTCAAGTAGATGCTCAAAAAGGCATCAAAGCACAAAAGCTTATTATATAGAGTTAAGGTAATATTGAATATTGTTTCCTGTGTAAGAGAGGTAAACATAGAGGGAGGCCAGTGGAGGTAACCTTACTTTTCCAAAGGCCCCATCTAGCTTGCTGAGAAACAGAGCAGGGATTTTTTCCCCTTACTTGAGTAACCTTTTTGATCGTATTGTAGTTAACAGCTTTCTGCATTCAGTTTTCTCATCCCTGGGAAGTGGCTCTCTACTATCAGCTTATATCAATGGGCTCCTGATGGGTGTTGTAATCTCAAACAGTGGGTTCCTGATGTGGGAGGGCCTGTGTGCCAGACAGACCATCAATAGGATTTTGAACAAATAGTTAATAGTCCTTTAGCTTTCTCCCAGAATCTCTGCTTCTCCTTACCGGTATAAGAAGTAGAACCAAGTGTAAGTCCTTCCATCCCTCGGCCAAGCCTCTCTTCATCCAGCCCATATTGGGGCCAGATGGTGACACAGTAAAGTATTAGCTTTTGCTACCCTCCTCAGGATCAAACTTATTCCAATTCCTGATGCATTGTAGTAGGGAATCTGAACTGGATTTCCTAAGGAGGAAGACAAGACATGAGGACATCTGACGTTTAGGAGGTATACCTCTTGCCCACATGCAGAGTCCTTAAGAAGAAGACCTGATGGTTGGGGTGTCTTCCAATTCTGTCACACTACCAGGTGTCCCTGGTGAACCTTTTGGGGGGTCAGAAACACTAGTGTGAGCCCCTAACCCTTCTGGGATCACTCATCCATGGGTTGGAAACAATTGTGTTGCTTCTCTGGGGACCAAGCTCTGCAACCCCGGGGTACACGTCCTTGCTATGGGCATCTCTGAAGCTCTTCATTTTACTTCAGTGGAAAGAAGTCTCTCTCCAAAGAGGCTCTAAAGGGGCCCAAGCTGTTAGGTTTGGCAAAGAGGCCTGCCTGCATGAACAGTTCTTCTCTTGTTATAGTTGTCATCCAGGTTAAAAGTGCAAATGAGAGGTTGTTTTGTCATAGACCCCATGTTTAGGGGAGCGCTTTATTACATGATAGAAAACACCTATATCTTCAGACATGGGACTGTTTAGAGTAAAAGAACAGGAGAGAGGGAAGGAAGGGATGGTGGCAGGCAAGTGTGGAGCAAAGTCAACAGGAGTGCCGCCAAGGATGAGATCGAGGATCCGCTAGCAAAACTCTGGCAGTGCAGAAAAGCCCAGGGAGGCCAGGGTGTTTGGGGGAACAGCACTGAGTATGTGCTGAACCTGAGGTCACCTCATTATGGCTGCAGCATCATGGCATCAGTATCATGATCAGGACATGCAGCCAGCTAGCAAGATGGCCACCCACATGCCTGGGTCCCCTGACTCCATGGGGAGTGGTGTTCTGGCACCTCAGTATCTGCCTCACAATACATACTCAAGAAACCCTCACCCCATATTGTGTCCAAGCTTGCTGTCCTGTACCCAAGCCCACTGTCTCTGAGGGCCTTGGGGAAAGTGAAAGGAAGGAGGGAAGGATGGAAGGAGGGAAGGAAAAGGAAGAAGAGGAGGAAGGAAGGGAGCAGCTGCATATAGAAGCACACACCATTAGAGATGAGAGCGAAGGAAAGCATCCCTGATCCTTTGAGTTATTAGTCTTTGCTGGGGAGCAGCGTGGATGTGAGCAGTACCTGACTTTAGTGTGCCTAAACTTGTGAGCATTCTCTTGTGTCTGGTGCCAGCTAATTCTCAACTTCAGCTTGTGATCATATTAGCTTGTCATGAGATCATAGGCACTGTAATGGTTCTAAAGTGTCTGACCTGTGACTGCAATTTGGAGTGGCTCTTTTCAGGCATGTCTATCCAGAATGAGTAGAAAGTTCGAGATTAGAAATGTAAGTCTTACCTCTGACCTCCTAACTGGCTGATTTACTAATCGAAATCTTAAAATATTGGGGTTAAGTGGGCACCCGCCAAGATTTCCAGTTCTTCATGGATAGAACCAGAAGCAGAGACAGTTTATTAAGAATACACTTCCAAGGGAGGAAGTGAGCCAGAGCTGGGAGGAAGGTTAAAGGCTCAATGGCCCTGTATACAAAAGATTGGAACTTCTGTAGGTCATTTGCAGTGTGTTTTTTCTTGCTTATTTGCCTAGCAGTTTTCCCTTGCATGCTGTCTGCTGCATATTGGTCTTGACTATGGGGAGGGCTTCTAGTCTTCCTCTCTACCAACTGCTGTCCTTCAAATACTTATTTTGCAACGTTGTATGAGGCCTTTTTCCTCAGCCCTGTTTTCCCACTTCACATCCAATTCTCTGACTTTGGTTGTCTGCATTCCTTAGCCAAGGTCCTGAGGTGTGAAAAGGGAGCAGTCGGTGTTGACATGAGAAACAACTCCTAACGTCAAAGCCAGGCACTTTCTCTCTTTGTCCTTTTAACTGTTCTTCACCCTATGGTTGCTAGCTGTGCTGTGTTCGGAACATACTGTGCTGTGCACTGGAAGCCATTGGGATCCTGAGGTGTTTCCCACATCTGTAGATTGCTCTTGACTTACTGTCCTGTGGAACTCTAGCAGTCTTTGGTTAGTTTTTATTTGTTTGTTTGTTTTTGTTTTTTGAGACCAGGTCTCACTATGTAGCTTTGGCTGGTTTGGAACTCAATATGTAGATCATGTGCCTTTGAATTCATAGGGATATGCCTGCCTCTGTCTCCTGAGTGCTGGGATTAAAGGTGTGTGCCACCATGCTAGGCTCCTTTGGCTAATCTTTTAAAATGGTGTTTCCCTTAATGCGCCTCATCTTTTCTTTTCTTTTCTGTTTCAATGACAGCAAACTTGAAAACCTTCAGAGTGGAGACAGCTTCATCAGGAATCATGATAGAAACCTTATTGTTTGATGTAGAAACCTTATTGTTTGCAGACTGAGTTCAGGCAAGTTATTAATCTTCTTTGGATCTTGGTTTCCTGATCTTTTTTTAAAATTTTTTAAAAAATTTAAAAAAAGTTTAATTTTTAAAAAAATTAAAAATTTTTTATGTGTATGCGTGTATTGCCTGCATGTAGGTCAGTGCACTCATGTCGTCCAATGCCTGCAGAGGTCAGAAGAGGCTGTCAGACCCCCTGGGACTGAAGGTACAGACAGTTGTTAGCTGCCATGTGGGTGCTGGGATCCGAACCTGGGTCTTCTGCAAGAACAACCAGTGCTCTTAACCGCTGAGCCATCTCTCCAACCCCCATTTCCTGATCTTTTAAGCTAAGAGCTCATGCCTTTCTTACTCCACAGTTACCCAGGGGACTCAGACGGGAAACACTAATTTGAACAGCTCTCTTTATTAAGCCAGATGTGTTGTACAGCCCTGGGTTTCTGGCACTGGGGTGGCAGAAACAGGAATGTTATGAGTTCAGATCAGCCTGAGCTACATTAATTGACGGCCAACCTAGACTTTGTAGTGAGATCCTGTAGCAAATAAACACATACACAGACAAGGAAAACTTTCTACGTTGGTGTGAGAACCACTGTGGACCCCTGTTTCTCCATCTTTGGACATCAACCACTAAATTCCTGATAGTTTTAACTTTGTTTCCTACCACTTTCTCAAAAGAACTATGGCAGCTTGCAGGGATGCCTACAAACTATTGGGTCATTATACTTCTTAGGAAATACACAATTATATTGGACTAGATCGTGATCATGGGACACAAGGAGTCATAAGTATATGGGCCATGGACTCTCCTGTCTCACCTACTTTCTGGGAAGGGCTCTGTGTATTTCCTTTAAAGCATTTTCTTTTGTATCATGATTGCTGCTTCTTGGGCCATAGGCTCATTAACACTTCCTTTTAACAACCCTGTAATTTGTCATTGGTTTCAACCAGCTTCATGGTCAGCATCTCATGAGGGCAGTGAGAAATGGGAAGGATCTTATTTTTTTCTTCTACTGAATTGCCTGGAGACTGTCTCTTGGTAATTAGAGGTGGAAGTGTGACATTTAATTAGTGGAGAAAACTAAGTCAGGCAAGAGGCAGTCTGTGCCACCTGCAGAGTGGGAAAGGACTTGGGGAGGAAGTGATATACTCAGCAGTACAGTTTGGCTTAGGTGTCTCCTAGCCCCAGGCTGGCTGTGCACACTGACAAGGTGGGGACTATAGAATCTTAAGGAGATTTCCATTGTGAAGAGAGCCCCCAAAGCACACAGTGTCTTCTGTCACACTTGACATCTGGGAAAATAAATGATGAGAGGAACACCTTACCAGAAGAAGCCTGGCTCCTGATGTCCTAGTGACCTGTGCTTAAGATTTGTACTGTTTGCATTAGTCAGGACGGCCTGGAGGAACAGAACCAATAATGAAAATATTACAAAAGTTTTACTTACATGATAGGACTACCCAGTCCAACTATGGCTGTCCAAATGCTGGTGAAGCAGATAACTTGCCAAATAGTCCAAATCCAAGTAGTCCTAATCCCCAGTAGTCCAATTCAACACTGACTGTAGGCCTGGACATTCCCTGGAGAGTGGCTGGTGTTGAGTCCACATTGAAAAGCTGAAGAAGCTGTTGTCTGATGTCACAATGGCACAGTGATAGACATACTCACTGGGCAAAGAAAGCAGCTTGGTGCCTCTTCCAATTTCATTTCACCCCCACTGTCAGCCCACTGGAATGTGATATCCATGGTTAGAGTTGGTCTCCACCCCCATTTCAATGTCCCGCATGTTAATCCTTTCTGTCAGTGTCCCCACAGACATATAGAAGTGTGTCCTACCATTTGTAGGCATCTTTTAAGCCAGTCAAGTTGATAACCAGGACCAACCGTCACACACTGCATCTGTGGCTTTTAGAGCAGAGAGTTCAGAGTGCGATGAATTGGAAGGCAGGTCATGACAGCTCTCAGTCCAGTTTCTTGTTTTTTAAAATATATATTAAAAATTTATTATTATTATCATTATTATTTTATTTTTTGGTCTTATTGAGACAGGGTCTCCCTATAGCCCCACTGGCCTGGAACTCATTATGTAGACCAAGCTGGCCTGGAACTCACTATGGAGACCAAGCTGGCTTCAAACTCACAAGATCCATCTGCCTCTGCCTCCCAAGTGCTGGGATTAAAGGCGTGGCCACAATGCCCAGCTTAATTTATTATTTTTATTTTGTGTGTGTGAGTGTATTGCCTGCATATATGTAAGTGCACCTGTGTCATGCAATGCCCATGGAGGCCAGAAGAGGGTGCTAGATCCCTGGAAGTGGAGTTAATGATAGTTGTTAGCTGCCATGTGGGTGCTAGGAACCAAACCTAGGTCTTCTGCAAGAGCAGCCAGTGCTGAGCCATCTCTCCAGCCCCCCAGTTTTTTTATTTTATAGATAAAGATCCAGAGAAGTGCCTTGATGTGCCTAAGGGACTCATGGGTTGTGTTGGAGCCAGTGCTGGGATCATTGGCACCAATTTCTGTCCTAGTTTGTTTCTCCATTGCTGTGACAAAATTTTCAGCATAACTGTTCCAATCCCCACAGCAACAAACTCTAAGCATTCAATTGCTTTTCCAGTCCAAAGTTCCAAACACTTCAACAATCAAAAACAACTGGGTCAGGTCTGACAGCAATACTCCACTCCTGGTACCAATTTCTGTTTTAGTTTAAATACTCTGACGAATACCAATTTGTCAATTACTACCTTCACATTTAGTTGGGGAAATTGTATCCAGGTAGGACATGGTATGCGCAGTAGTTAAGGAGATCGGCTTTGAAATCTATGTCAGAAATTTTGTCCAGAGTGGTGATGACACAGTGGCTTCCTTTCATGTGTTTGGAGGAAAGGTTGGGAGGTTTTAGATTTAACTATATCTTGGTTTAGGTCTTGGTGATGTTGCTCCTAGCTGTCTGGGAACAGCAGTGTGCCTCTCCATGTTTCAGCTTCCCTGGACAAGGATGTTAACAAGATCTGTTGCATGTGGGGATCTAAACTACTGAGGAGAAGGAGAGAGATAGGCTACTATCTTTGGGAGCCTCTAGTTTTTCTTTTGTAAAATGAAGAGTACTACAGGTGGAGATCATCTGCCCCAGAGCTCCCTCCCTGAAGGGTTCAATGATGGAGACCACCAGGCCTTCTGGAGTGGTACTCAATGATAGCACCTGAGCAAGACAGTGGGCTTTACCAAGGCTGCTAGGACCAGGAAGTAATTCCAGAATTTCTGTGACTGGACCATGGCCCATTTCCTGAAGTGAAATAAAGTTGCCTTTCCATTCACAGGCTAGACTTGGGATATCTGCATTCTCACAAGCAGGAAGGTTGTGTCTGGGGTTGATCAAAGTTGTCAGGGAAGCAAGGTTCTTTCTCACCACCTGGGGTACATCAGTTACTTTTCTGTTGCTGTGATAAAATACCACGACCCAGAGCAATTTATGGAGGCTTACAGTTCTGCAGGGGAATACATAATGGCAGGGGTCGGGGTGGGGTGGGGAGGCATGGCAGCTGGCAGTCAGATCAGGAAGCTGAAACTCACATCTTGAACAGCAATCTCAAGCAGAAAGACTGAATGAGAAGTCTGCCCCAGGGCATACTTCTTCAAGCAAGACTGAACCTCTTAATAATTCAATGACCTCCCCAAACAATGCCACTAACTGGGGACAAGTGTTCAAATACTTAAGACTATGTAGGCATTTCTTATCAAACATGGGGGAATAAGGATGGGAATGGGCCCCTATTCCTGCCTCCTGCCCTCCTGTCTTTGGGTAAAGGCAATGAAACCTGAACCTGGATGCTCCCCTTCTATCTGGATCTCATTTTGGGGTCCTTGTTTACCCTCTCTTATCAGCATCACAAGACTCTTCTGAGCATGAAACAAGACACGTATACAATTTGATCTGTAGTGGGTAATACATACAT